ATGCTTATATACTCAGAAACACAAATGGGTATCTATACACCCATGATCATAGCAGCATCATTTATAATATCCAAAAGGTGGAACAATCCAGTATCCATGAATGGATGAGTCAAAAAACAAAATGTGATCTATACATATAATAGAATATTATTCCACCTCACAAAGGAAGGACATTCTGACACATGCTACAACTCTGATCAACCTTAAAAACTAAGTGAGGGCCTACCCTGGTGGTGCAGCGGTTGAGAGCTGGGCTGCGAAGCTGCCCACAGCCTCTGTAGTGCCGGTTCGATCCCCGGCCGCAGGCGAGGGTCCCACATGGCGCGCAGACCTCTCCTGCCGCCCGCTGCTCCCCTCAGCAGTGTATTTCGTCAGTCTGCCTGTTCTGCTCCCCACTCTGGCTCTGGTGAATTCTCTCACCCTCCCGCGCTTCTGACTGTACCCAGTGCTTGTATAAATAAATAAATAAATAAATCTTTAAAAAAAAAAAAAAACATTAAAAAAAAAAACTAAGTGAAATAAGTCAGTCACAAGAGCACAAGAGGACACATGCTGTGACTCCATTTATATGAGGTAGCCAGAGTAGTCAAATCCATAGGGAGAGAAAGTAGAATGGTGGCCTGGGGCTGGGGGAGAAGAAATGGGGAGGTATTGCTTAATAGATATATAGTTTCAGTTTTGCAAGAAGAAAAGACTTCTGTGGATAGTGATGATGGTAGCAGGCCAATGAGAATGCCCTTAATACCAATGAGTGCTACACTTAAAAAAATGGTAAAGGGGTCTCCCTGGTGGTGCAAGGGATTAAGCACCACACTATGAAGCAATCCACAGCCTCTGAAGCATGAGTTCGATCCCCAGCCAGCCGGAGAGAAACCCACATGGCGAAGCAGACCTCTCCTGTCTTGCCCGCTGCTCCCCTCAGCAGTGTATTTCAGTCAGTCTGCCTGTTCTGTTCCCCACTTTGTCTCTTGTGAATCCTCTCATCTCCCTGCATCTCTGGCCTGTATCCCAATTCTTGTATGCATAAATAAATAAATCTTTAAAAAAATGGTTAAGATAGGGCCTCCCTGGTGGCACAGGGGGTTAAGACACAACCTATGAAGCTTCTGCAGTCTCTGCGGCATGAGTTTGATCCCCCAGCCAGCCAGGGAGCTACCCACATGGCGCAGCAGACCTCTCCTGACTCACCCGCTGCTCCCCTCAGCAGTGTACTTCAGTTGATTTGCCTGTTCTGTTTCCCACTCTGTCTCTGGTGAATCCTTTCACCCCCCACACCTCGGCCTGTACCCCAGCTCTTGTATGCATAAATAAATAAATCTTTTAAAAAAAAAAAAAAAAGGTTGAGATAGTAAATTTCACGTGGTTTTATCACAAATGAATTTTTTTCTCCAGAGTGTTTAAGGAAGGACAAGTATCATGCTTCTAGAAGTGTGAGGCCATAAATAACTTTATGCTCACTGAGAGCAACTGGAAATAGCTGAGGCTGAAGGCTGGAACCAATAAGCACTGAAAAGAGACAGAAAATCCTTTAGCTCTTTAGAAGCCACAGGCCCCCAAATGCAGCCTGGGACTGAATGAATGCTGTGGAGCTACTCCATCAGACTGCTGGCTGAGTGATAATCTGGGACATTTTTTTCACATCAGCAGCAACAAAGATTTTACTGCTTCTATACTTGTGCCACTGATTTCGAAATTAATTTACAATAAACACCACTTTGGTTTTGATGTTGTAGCTTGTCAAGGCAGTTGTAAATCTCACATGAGCACCTCTGGTATTTGTTTTCTCTTGACAGGTGTACAACACTTGCAAATCTGATAAGCATGCTTCTAATTCCTCTACCCCAAGGAATTCATTGGCTATCTTATGCTCTAGTTCAGAAAAAAATAATACCTGTGGGTGTTAATATGACATCAATATATTACCTTACTTTTGGGGTTCTCTGGAATATACCACATGATGATAAAAGAAAAAAAAATCAGCCTTTCCTGACATGCAACAGGATAGGAAATGAAGCATAAATACGCAGCCCTGTTATTCTTCTAGGCATTAATGTCATTTATTTACAAAGACTTTGGATTTTAGGGAATTAATTCTTTGTCCTTAAGGGTAAACTGCCCTTAAAATGAAAGCATCAAACCACTTGGTGTCTTAATTAATGACAAGAAGAGGCAAGCCCTTTGTGAAACTAAAGGTATTTACTCGCTTCTTGCCTTCTGGCACTCTTCCCACTCTTATGGAATCACAAAATTATTTTACATTCTTTAGAGACTGTGTCTGCAAGTCCCTTTAGCCCACTGGGCATGTCTTCTGACTGAAGCCTGAATGAATTCAAAGCAGCTTACTGCTTTCTTCGTATCACATCTAGTTTGAAGTATACTTTTGGACTTCAATGCTTTCTTGAAACTACCTTGTTCAAAAATGGTTCTGCTTACTGCAGAATTTAGTAGTAAAATAGGAATTGTCTTCTTTGGAATATTATACCACCCTCTGAGCAGTGGCTCTAACCCTTCTTTGTTCTTCTAATTAGTCTTTAACTAGTTAATATTTTTTAAAATGGACCTTACTGTTTATGGTGAATTTCAGCCCAAGATTTAAGTTTTTTGTCTTAAGTAATATTGTGAAAGTTTCAGGGTACTGTTTTACAGTCTTCTGTGTCCTATTCATGGCTGGTGTTTAGTGTTCTTAAAACTTAATTAAACTCCTCAGAAAGTTCCTAGGGATACTTTGTGGGGGGGCCTCCTGCTTTTCTCTCACAGGCAATTTCTAAACTCCCTCTGCTTCAACTGCTATCTCTATGCCAATTATTCCCACACATCTACAGTATCTATGTGATTCTGAATTTCTGTACTACAAACAGCCTTGGGACAGCAATGATGGTCAACTGACAAATTCAAAAACAACACTATTTCCTCCTTGCTCAAATAAGCCCTCTTCCAGAATTCTGTTCATGGAACTTGCATCTCTGACTTTCCCCCTTCCTTATACCTATAATCAAACTAGTCTCGAGTCCCTTCCATTAAGTCTCAAATAGCACTTGAATTCTGTTTCTCCTAATCACACTGACAGTGCCTTAGTTCTGGCCATGACCATCATTTGACCAAATGCATGCCTGCCTTCATGTAAGCCCTGCTGACAACCAGCAACAAAGCCACAAGTCCAAGGGTGGATTCTAGGGAAGCTATTTGCTAGATTCTAGGGAAGCTATTTGCTAAAGGCTAAGGAGAAAATGGATTCAGGCAGAATTTGTATGAAAGTCAGTAGCCAGAAAACAAGAGGAAGCATGATAGTAAAACCTAGTGTATACAATGTTGAGGGAAATCACTCTAGTCAAAAAGGTGATCTAGTAATGATCTAGTAAATGACTTGAAATAAAAAGGTATGCTAGGCCAAGAAGAGAGTACATATGGAAGCACATTGTAGAATTCTGCCCTAGTTCCCCTGGAATATAAAGGTCATAAGCACCAGGATGTTCTCTCACTTATTCTCATCTATTTTGGGGATGTCAAGAATAGTGTCTGGTACAAAATAAAACTCAGTATTTACTGACTGAAAGACCTATATATGTCCTCAGCATCTCCTCAGTAAATATTTTTTAAAGATATGGATGATGGTTACTGTGAGATGACTGGCAAACTGCCCCCTTCACATGAATTTTCAAGTTCCTTCAGCCTCTCCCAGGGTGCCCAGCAAGCTCATCAGGTTCTCCTTTGTGGTGATACCACCATGAGGGTAAGCTCTGCTCCAACAGGCCTATACTCTACCTCCCTTGAAGATGGGCAGAAGAGCAATTACAAAAGGAAAAGTTTAATTAAGTCTTCCTAATAATTCATGGACCCCAAAACGTGGAGCCAAGGACAATTATACTTTTGGATATGTTATGTACTTCCAGGTTATTAGCTGAGTCTGAATAATTCCCGGAGTAGTCTCTGCAGGTTAATGAATAAACAGCTAATTAGATCACAAATATTTCAATTTTGTCTTAATAAATATATTGTGATGAAGATGCCCTCAAATTAGTTCTCCAAAACTTATTCATTATTCTACAGTTGACAGTAATAGTTAACATCAAATCCAAAAATAAGAAATGACCAAATTTTATTATGCATCTGGAGGCAATCAGAAAACTCACAAATAAAGGTTGTTTAGGCTCTTCTTTGTCTGATTCCATTTATTTCCTCATTGATTTTCTTTTAGTACTTTTTCTTGGGCACAATTCCAAATGCTAAAGATTTAAAGATGAACTGCACTCATGGAAGTACATTTCAAGAGGGAAAACTCTTAACAAATGTGATATGAATAACCTAAGTTCTGAGAGAAGGGAAAGAATGTATTTTCCAAAGTGCACAGGGAGGGTCACCCACACGGAGCTGACAGTAACAATTACAACTAACTTGTAAAATAGCTGTCACTTACTCCTACTTTATAGACTTTAAAAATCATTAAAATTACAGCTATTATTTAAATCCAAAGCCTGAAATTAAGGATTATTCAGGCTTAGCACCATACGGATATTAAGTGTATTGAGGAATATGGCATGGTAATTCAGTTTTATGAAACAACAAAGATACACACCAAGATAGAAATATTCAGAGGCATAAAGAGAAAAGAGTAAAAGTTCTTTAGAAGTGAGCCAGGCTTGAAGACCTATTCTACCAGAGAACTTCTTTCCTCTTCTGGAAAACAGAAACTAGTACTTTCCTCATGGGATGGCTAGGATGGCAAAATGGGATATTAGTTGCATATGAAGAGCAGCTGTTTGTCAACACATGACTATGTGTCTATAGGTTGGCAGAAAGAAAGAAGGAGGAAGCAAAGTAGAAGGGAGGGTAGGAAGGAGAGAAGGCAGGAAGAATGCGGTGGGAAAAACCCAGCACCAGCACTGTGACACTGACAAGGTCAAAGAATTCTAAAAAGGGGTTAAAAGTTCAATATTACCCAGCAGGTCTGAAAAACCAACCAACAAACTTAAAGAACAATACTACAATATTACTTCTCCTACCTGCCCAGTTTGATAATGTCTGGCAAATTGGTTCACCACTCGGTAATCATTTGCAAAGTACTCCATCAGGATAGAAGGAACCTCAGCAAAGTCAGTAGGACACCTGGTCCCTAAAATGGGGGGGAAAGAAAAAAGTTGCCATGAATCATATCAACATGTTTATCTTCCTTTGTATGTACTCTTAAAACTTTTATTTGTACTTCTGATGAACTATGATTAAGCATTAATTCATTAAATCAATATTTTACTTTTATAAAATTATTATACATATTTACAGAAAAGTTTATTATAATTCAATATATTTTCCTATATGTCAAAAGTAAAACAAAATATTTGCACAGCTGGATAAAACACCTTGTAAAGCAATAGCTCACACCCTCTATAAACAAACCTATCCTCAGCTATGCTGGGTTATACATGAAACACAAATTAAAACATTCTTACAACTTATATAACATTTGTATTTAAGTCACTAAATTCTATCATCAAATGCTTTTATCCTTCATGTGTATTAAAAGCATTTTGTTTAATCCATTCATTGCCTTTTATAACAAAGTCAAATTCTCGAAGTAGAAAAGCAATGTCTTTAACTCAAAATTACTGAAGCAACAAATCCTGCAATGGAACTTTTTCGATGACATTTTATGTTTCTGTACAATCTTTTCAAATATCCTGTCCTCCCCAAAATACTACATGTAAACTTAGTAAATACTGATTGCCAACAATTTACCAGGTTAAAGATGACCACACAAAATAGCTTAAGACTTAGAGATGAAACAAGAGGAAAATCTATAATATCATCAAATAAGGCTACATATCAGCATATAAAACTAATAACAAAACTATATTGTCTGATAGGAGGAAGATATAAGAAATAAAAGCATTTTTAAGAAACTTGTTATGTTGATTTTTGATAAAACGAGGCAACGTATATTCACTTTTTCATTCACTAACTCTGTGCTAGGTACTAAGATACATATTTAATCACAAACACATAAGCTATAAAAGTAATTCCATGTAGAACACTTGTATTTGTACAGCACAAACTCAAAAGACAGACCACTAAGAACTTGTTAACAAAGAAGGAAAACACATAAGAAGATCAAGATTGCATAACTGGAAGGGCAAGATGCGGGTAAATGACTACAGAACATCATTAACTGATCAGATTTTCTAAATAAAAAGCTCTTTTCCTAATTTCAAATAAAACATGCTTTTAAAGGATCACTATAAATGTTGATGGCTCACCAGTGACATGCTGGTAACGAGTGCGTCCCAGCATAGAATGCATGGCATGTCCCATTTCATGGAAAAGATTTTCCATCATTCCAGGAGTTAATAAAGTTGGCAAATTCCTTGAGGAGTGGGGGAGATTCAGCATAAGAACTACAACTGGAAGTTGATAGTCTCCATCTTCCTTTAGTCTGCCTCCACGGATTGTAAAATGGCAATCCTTTAAGAATCAGAAAACTTAGCAGTTTTAGATAAAGGGTAAAAATATGTGAATTCAAGTTTTAACTTAATTCTATCCTTACTCTGGTCTTTTAATCATAGATACTTTTTCCAACACATTTTGTTTTGCTAAAATTTTAATATTTTAAAACACCATTAATATATTCAGCTTGCATTGATGAATTCATTCATTCTCTACAAAAATATGCATTGAAGTGATATGACAGCAGTTGCTGAAAACAGTCATCAAAGAGCTAAGAGCCACACTCTCAAGACATTCATAAACAAGTAAGAAGGGACAGGCTTTGAGCTCTTGGGGAAAAGGCCACTACTATTAATTGAAGCCCTTCCATGTGTCAAGCAATTAGCTAGGAAAAATTTCCATATCTATTATGTTCATCACTTGGAAGTGATGACTCTAAACTATGACAGAACAAGCAATCTGGAGTAACTTCCACTATAACAGGATGAGATTCACAAACATTTGATCACATATTCTTCACAACAAGCCTTGAAGTAGTATCTCATTTTTCAGATGAGAAAACTGAAACTGATCTTGGGAATGCTGCCATGTGTTCAACACACATGGCTAGAGCTGCTATATCTGGGATTGAGCCTAGGCCAACTATCAGGAGTCTAGGCTTCCAATCACTAAACTGAAATTCTGCAGCAGCCACTAAAGCAAAGAAGAGAACATAGAACTCAGTGTCCTATGACCTAGACCAGAATTCTTAGAAGGAAAGAGTTTCATCTCTACCTTGTTAAATGCCAGAAGAGATGCCCTGTTTTTATACGCTCACATTTGTTAAAATACTTTTGAAGGTGTAGATCACCATTCAAATATAAAGTGCCATTATTTCTATTAGGACATACAACCTGAGCTCTTAACATTAGCCATCAAATGCTGAAGCCAAGTGACTGGCAAGTCTGGTGTGCAACTATAGTAAAGGAAATAAACTTCATATTCCACCTAAGGAGAGAACTGATGATTGATAAAGTTTTCAAATAGACAAATTTTCTACAATTTTAAACTAGGTCTTTTTTCAGGTATGGCAAGTACTAAAGGACTGAGTTTGCATTCAGATCACAAACTTTTGGCTATGTGACTCTAGGCAAATTACCTCTCTGGCCTCAGTTTCTTTATAGTATTAGTGCCTAGCTGAAAGGCTGAGATGAACATTCAAAGAGGCAATGTAGGGCCTCCCTGGTGGTGCAGGCGGTTGAGCGCTGCACTGTGAAGCTGTCCGCACTGTGTGCAGCGCGGGTTCAATCCCAGCCGGCCTGCGAGAATCCCACATGGTGAAGCAGACCTCTCCTGTCTCGCCCGCTGCTCCCCTCAGCAGTGTGTTTCTTTAGTCTGCCTATTCTGTTCCCAACTCTGTCAACGGTGAATCCTCTCACCCTCCCGCGCATCTGGCCTGTACCCCAGTTCTTGTATAAAAATTAACAAATCTTAAAAAAAAAAAAAGAGGCAATGTATATAAAGGATTTGGTACATTATATGGGACAAAAATGGCACAAAAATGTCAGTTATTATTATTACCATGAGTCAGTTAAAAGTGACATATTTTCATAATATTTATTATTTTTAAATTCTATCCAAAATTCTACTCAAATTTCAAATTTGTATTTTTAATTATGATTATTAATACCTTTTTAATATTAAGAAACTACAAAAATGAAATATGAAGTTCACAGTAATTCAAATTAATAGCTTAATCACCACTAGAGAGAATAGTTTGTAATAAAGAATCACCTGATATGGTTTGTCTGCTCGCTGAAAAAAATCACAGTAAATGTACCCCAACAATCCCTCAGATTCATGAACAACAGCCTAGAAGACAAAATTTTAATTTAGTGGTGAATGAGGCCACCAGAAGTCCTAAAATTGGAAGAAAAAAAAAAAAAAACCACTCTAATACAAGAATCTGTGTTTAAAACAACCATTGGTTCAAATATAGACATGTTATTACTTTCTACAGCCCATATTAGCTTTAGATAGATTTTCCCCTCAACCTCTTTTTTCTGCTGCATCTCTCAGGTGATTATGATTTGAGAATCCTATCCAGAAAAGAAAATTCCTTGTTTGGGTCCTTTGTTTGACTGCCAGTCCTCTCCAATGCCTCCACCAAAAACAGTCTTTCAGACTGTTCACAAACCATCCAAAAGGGTGTGCTGGAGAGGTGCTAGCTAGCAACAGTTATGCAGAAAATTCATTTTTCCCTCAAATCTTAGAATATAATGATATATGCCCATATAAATGATAACCCTAAAATCAGTATTATGATTTATGCCCTTCTCCAGAGGGGGCACAGCTCATAGGAGCACAATCAGTCATCTCCATTTTGCCATTTTAGTCTTTTCAGAATTTGAGGATTCTTCCAAAGACCAACTCAATTTTATTCCTTAAAACTTCCTTCAAGCATATATTAATTATTTCAACAAATATCTAGTAAGCACTTGCTCAGTTCAAGACACTTAGGCTACACCATGAACTAAACTGGCAAATAGTGCTGCCTCATGAAGACTCATGTCTTTAGAAGGGCAAGAACCTCATCAGCATTGTATCCTATCACTCTTCTGCTACCCATTTTTCTGTTCATTACATCTCTGCAGTTTACCAGTATGTCATTTCTTCCAAAAAATGAAATTGCACATAATATGCTAATAGACATTTAAGTAAGTAAATGAAGTCATGAAATGCCCTCCAAGTCTGCCTTTTTAATACATCAGCTCACCTTGTCTAGGCCCACAAAACATAATCAAGAGACAATAAGAGAGTTTTCATTTGTTGAAATATACTGAAAATAGTATGGTGTGGCAAGCATAAAACCAAAAAGTAAGATAAACACATGGATGTAAAAGAATTTCAGAAATTTATCAGGAAAAATTAAAATTCACACCTCAAAGTGGGCTCTAGTACGAGGATAGACTGCAAGCTTAGTTATTATGATAGATATCATACAGAAAACAATATAATTTAATATCTGATGCAAATACAACCTCCAACAAAATGGGGGGACAAAACTGGAAGGTAAGGCAGGGCTATGTGATGGATTCTGGAATTAACCACAGGGACATTGGTACTGCAGGAAAATGAAGAGCAATGACAAATTTTCATTTAACTAGAATTTGTCAGTAAGAAAATTCATAAAATATTTTCAGAGAACCAACTCTGCTATTATATATCTAGATTAATTTCAGCCAACGACTGACTGTAGAGAAAAGGGTTTGTTTTTTAGTGTCCTAAATCAGAAGTGGTGATTTGGATTTTCCATGAAACAGGAATAAATTAAGACACTCCTCCAGGGTAAAGCTAACTTAAACATGAAACTGTTGTTAAGCCAATTACCAAACCCAAGAGATAAAGCAAGTAACTTTATAACTAACTGGATTGCTTACCAGTTTTCGAACATCTTCACACCACACCTCTCCTTTAGCAGGCTGCTCTGCATATAATGAAATCCCTAATAATTTGTTAAACAAAATATTCAGGCCTTCCATGCATGCTCCAAGGGAGAAAAATGGGCAATATAAGCTGGGCTCGATATTATACCTAAAAGAAGAAAAAGAGGCTCAGTTGCATTTTTATTTAATTTCTTAAGGCAAATTTGTTAACTTATCATTTACAACTTAGGACTATAGTAGCTAAAAAAGAACTGAAAATATAAAGGTATATTTCTATCTTTCAAGAGATTTCCAGACTTAGTCTTATTCAGAAGAGAGGCAATCTATTACCACTAATAAGAGTAATGTCGTAATAACGGTAGACATACCATTCCCTAATGTGTTCGAGTTACTTACCCTGCCATTGACTCTAAGCAGTTTGTCTGTCTTAAATACCTCCACTACACACATTCTTCATACATATCATATACAAACTGTGACTAGTTTGAGCTATAACGGCAAACTACTTTATGAAAGGTGCTATACTCTAAAAAATTGTGATATATCACATAGATTAAACAAATACAAATCCTGAGGTACATTGAGTGAATTTAAAGTTCAGATGCACTAAAATATTTGTTACTGGAAAATTATCGTAAATAATCAGAGCTTACTTTATCTGTTTTGTTGTTACATATCTTAAATGAGGGACAATATTGATATAAGGTTCATTATTCTTCATCCAAAAACAGTTGTTTTTTTTTTAATATCTGATTCCAATATAAACAAAACATGCAGAATATGTAATGTGAATGTTTGTTTTGAGTCACTAGGTCAGGTCAAAACCAGTCAGAAAAAAAAAATGGCTCTAGAATAATAGTAGGTGCTTAATCTGGTTCCACTTACTAGTATTAATAAAATATATGAGCTTATAAATAAAATATATACAAACTTATGCATACGGTGATTGAAGTTAGTGAGTGAGCATAAATTACACCATGAACAAGATTGGATTTATGGAAATCCAATTAATTTCTGATCAGTTTTCCCTGAAAACAGAATCTCACAGTTGAAAGAGACACTAGTAGTCCAGTGCACTACCTAATAGGCTCATTCACTCACGCAGGCTGTGAACAAACCTCTTAGAAGCTGTGGGAGTAGGGATGGGAAGAGAATTTGTCTCTAAGAAGCTCACAGTGAAGGAGGCAGAAACGTCTGAGCAGCACATACAACAGGTGCCCGACAGCCAGTGTGAAAGGCATGAATTAAGAGGACTACACAATGCAAGAGCAAAAGAGACACATACCTTTCTATACAGATTTATATAGAATCATACCATTCATATTACACTGCAATTCCCCTTTTTAATATAAACGTATAATTTGAAATATCATCCATTTCAATACATAAAGTTCTACCTTGAGTCATCAACAACAAGCACCTGCCATAACCTCTTCACTAGTCTCCTGCTCTGGAGCGTGTGGGCAGAAGCAAGGCCAGCAAGAGTCTATATCTGTAATGGGAATATCTTTCCACTAGCATTGTTTGGAATTGACCACACACATAGTAGAAATGAAGAGCACAGATTTTTATCAGATTTTATTGAATTTTAACTTCCATACAGAAAACACATCTACTTAAAAAAAGAAACAAAAATGTACCTAGAGCTAACCTATGTCCACTGGTCTGTCTGTCTCTGCTCCTGAGAGTTCATGTGCTGCTAGCTGATCTGCTACACGCAATACCTCAGTGAGCCCCTTGTCACACCAGTGCAAGTCTATTGGTAAGCTAGTCTGCAAAAATGACACTGTTGCAGAGTACAAGATTTTTTAATTTCATAATAGGTATTGTTAAATCATCCTCACAAATAAGGCTGTATTAATCTACATTTTTATCACAGTATGTGAAAATGAGTGGTATCTTCATTCTTCTCAATGTAGTTCTATTATATTTAATGATGATTTTCTTTCGTTGGCATGGAGGGTGGCATTTCTTTTCATCACATGTACCTTGGAGTACTTACAGTCTGTTTTTAACTCCTTTAAAAATATTTAAACTTTTAAATGTATTTAAACATTTATTTATTGGCTAATCAATTTTAGATAATACTATTGATTCCTACTATTCTATCATCCCATTTTCTACTTTATGCCCTTGTTCTGTTCTATTATTATATACAGATGTAACTGTGTATATACTACTCTTTTTGCTGATTTTACTAGGTGCCAGAAAGAAGAGTAGAACTGAAGGCCTTTATTTTGACATCATTTGCTAGATGTCCTGAAGAATGCATATAGTGTGGGAACAGCTGCCACAGTGGTGAACAGGACAGAGTCCAGAATGTAATTATTGTGGCAAGAGAAAATTCAATGTTAAAAACATGTCCATTTTCCCTATATTTAATCTACAAAATGAAAACACATCCCAAAGTCACTAGAATGATGATGATGATGATGACAGTGATGATGATGATGATGATAGCAACTAAATTCAGTGACTGCCCAAACATGTATCTCTTTTAATAGTAAAAACAATCCAACCAGGTCATATTCCTACCCTATATTACCAATAAGAAAATAGAGGTTTATAAAAAGGTGAGCAATCTCCCCAAGGTTACAAGTGATAAGCGGAAGGGCTGATATTTTCATTTTAATTGGATGATAATGATATAGGTATTGAAAAAATTATTCCAAAGAAGATAACTAAGAACATCAGTACTCGAAGCTAAAGTATTGAAGTCAGTTTTCACAAATACCTTCAAGCAAAAGAAAAGAATTGTATCTTTCATTTTCATTCACTTTTCTCAAAATGCTTTCATGAGTGAGAGGAGAGGAGAGCCTATATACCAGGGTACCAAACCCCTAAGTTTATTTTTAAAACTGCAAAAGGATAAGAAGTTTACAGACAGAAAAAGAGAAATGAGTGGGCGATATGAAAGTGGAGAAGAGGGAGTTGAGCAAATGTACTGAAGACAAAATTTTAGGGACTAGGAAATAGTAAGCAATGTCAAAAATTTCAGAAGTTAGAAGTGCTGAAGATGAAAGCAATTTCTGAATTTTATGATTGGCAGGTGGCTGATAACTTGTAAAAAATAGTTTGGTAGACTGACAGAGCTATAAATCAGATTCTAGAGATTAGAAAGGGAACACCCAGGATAGACTACTGTCAGGAAAGGTTTGGCAAGGAAAATGAGACAGGACTATAATCTTTCCAAGAATCATAGGAGGGGTAACTATTTGTATTATAAGATAAAGGATAACTTAGCACTTCTGCAGCAAAAGGAAAGAAGTTAATAGAAAGAAACAGACTTGTGATTAAATAGTAAAGTTAGAATAATTGTAAAGCAAGACCTATAGTGATTTGAGATAATATTATCTTATATTTGCATCATGCTTTACAATTTGCATAGCACTTTCACAGCAAGAATCTCTCCTATTCATTGTATAACGCTGTGAGACAGGTATAGTAAGAATTTTTACTTAATTTTACTCAAGATAACTGAGACTCAATGAGGTTTACAACAGTCCAGGGCAGTGAAAGAGAACAAGCTCTGGGTTCTTAGCAAAAATCTTGGCTCTGTTTCTTACCGTACAGTGAGTAAGTTGCTTGGCTTCTGGAGGCCTCAATTTCCTAACTAGAAAAATGGGAATAATACTTCCCAGGTTCCAAAGATGATCAGATAAATATAGACAAAGAAGCTGGCATGGGGCCTGGAGAAAAGTAGACACTCCATAAATCATAGCAACACTCTGTCCAGAAGCCAGAATTCACTAATCACTTACTTGTGTCTGATAACTCCTTGATATAGAAAACCTAAGGCACTGTAGCCATAAAGAATGATAAATCCAAATGAAAAGGGTACAAAAGCAGAGGACAAAGGATTTGGGGAACAAAGATGAGGCTGTGGCTAATTCAACCTGCTGAGACAGGAGGAGAACCCTGACCAAGGAGAACTCCAAAGAGAAGATGGTACCTGAGGTGGATGCTGATGGATAGCTAGCTCACTGGTGGGTGAAAGGGTTGAAGGGCGAGTACCCAGAAAGATTCAAGGGCGTTAAAGCAAATTGGGCATACAAACTTAATCAGCTCAAGATCACCTTATACCTTACTCAGCACCCTAAACAGCAAAGAAGAGGTGATGACACATGTGCATGCTCCTCCACACCCTCAGTGACTCTACAAATGAGAGAAAAATCCTTCTGAAAAACAACCAGAATGGGAAAAGGTCCAAAGAGGCTACTGGAGATTCAAAAAATTCGGAGGTGTTTCCAGCAGTTACACAATCAGGCCTGAGGTGCTCTGAGGAACAGTCACTATGACAATGCAGTCAGGAAGTGCAGCCCCACCCTGAGGGTCCCCTGCCTTTTATGCTCAGTTTACATCTTCCACACAATGTCAGATACTACATAGGATGTTTCAGTGATCACAGGCCACTGAGTCCCTCAAGGTCACTATAGGCACAGTCAGGATGTGGCTGCTCCCCCGCCTGCCCTGGCAAAGCTGAAGTACAGGGACCTAACATCTTGTGCTCCCCCTAAACGAGGGGCCTGCAGGTTCAGGGGCAACTCATCAAAGTCTGCCTATAATACGCAAGTAAGACATCTCCCTTCCCAATTTTCTTCTTTGCATGATACCACTAGTAAAACCTTTTACCACTACCATCTAGAGACCCCAAAACAATAGAAAAGGACAACACGCAACATGCAAAACCTCATAAGCATACCAGAGCCAGAGGTCAACATAAACATAGTAAAACTGTAAAGTAGTAATATGCAATCATAAAAAATAGTAATGGTAAAAGTGCATTTTGAGGATTTTGTTTTGTCGTACCTTGCATCAGTTCAAACTCTTTTACAGTTTTACAAGTGTGTCTTACTACCATTTTTGTATTGTTTCATTGACTTTAATCCAGAAATAGATCTCTAGAATCCTTTGATTCCTCTTCCTCAAAAAGAAATAGGAAGAAAACTATGCTATTATTTTGGTGGATATTGCTCTCAACCACAGTTGCTAGATAATAAAGTTCAATAAATGCTCCACTATTTTGGTTAAAAAAAAGTGACATGTGGGTTTACAAACTTTCAATGGTCAAAGAACTATACCTTATCAATATAATCAACATGGTAAAATGGTATATATAGATTAGGTCTTTCTTAAAAGAATGCAATT